TTGCGGGTACACTTACCTAGGTACTGGCAGATCACGTGAATGAGTACGTTAACCCGTGATATAGCGTTTGTCTCTTTGCTGAGTGTGCGCAGTCCGATTTGGAGAAGCTGCCATAATCGTAAGGTTTAGTACTGCGCTCGCAAAAAGAGAAGTATCGTCAACACAAGGACTGCGCGATCGATGCGACATCTTTTGAGGTGTGTCGCATGTAGGTGAAGAATACGGTGGCTATTGCGACTACGCGAATTAAGAAATGACACACCGTGCCAACGACATGACCGGCTTCTAGATGCAGGTACATTTTGCTAGACCAACGGCACCGTCAGCTAGGCCATGCGCTGCTATGATCGTGTCCTTGTTTTCGGGCCTTTGACATGAAAAAATTCATAGACACGAGCCGCGACGGGCACTTGCTAATTATTGCTATCAAGAAGCGAGGTAGAGCTGGTAACGAACTGTCTGTCAACGAGGGCTGTACGCATGGTCGAGGCCCACGGGCTGCGAGGCGTGAAGGTCAGACCAAGCATCAGCGGGGTGACCCGCTCAGTGCCGATCAAGCATTAGCGGCCCTCGCTGATTGGCTCAGGACGACCTTAGCTGCAATCATCCCTCAGGGTGCAGTTGCCCGATACACAAAGACATCCCACACCCCGCCAAACTTCAGCTGGTACTCGTGCATGAAGTCTGCACGATGCAAAGCTCGACCTCTGACGATGGCGGCTGATAATCGCTTGTCAATGTTGTTTCCTGGCTACATCATTCTCCCACTTGTATGTCGTGGTTCCTCCTTGAGATGAGGACCAAAGCCTGCTTTTAGCCATTACTCCTGGCGACTATTCACGGGATGCGCGATTTACGAGCCCGCGACATTGCATCAAGGGCGTTGCGGCGCCGAAAAGCAAGCGCTGCAAGTCACATCCCCGCGCGCCGACGCTCACGAAAATCCCGCAGTGCTGCGCCATCCTGCCTAAACAATGAAGCAGCTAACTACACGTGGGCATTCCGTTCTCACGATAAGCACCAAGGCTAAGAGCCAACCAAGGCTTTTCGTCAGCGGTAGAGCTTGTTACCAGATGAGATTGTCAGTCGGCAACAGTTGCGGCCAGATAACGGGATGGTATAAGTCCTGCGGGACTGCCTGACTGTCTTTGCGTACAACACCGACAGCCTGGTATGGATACCTCAATACACTTTGCTGATGCAGACCTGCATCCAGTCCGATCGTCGCAGTCCGTGGGCGGAGTGTACCCTATGCGCTCGCGTACGAAGTCGCACGCGAATCGGACTTCGGTTGATGCGAAGATCAGCGAACTGGAAGACGCGGAAGACGAAGATGCAGGTCTGCGCGATGAGCGCGATTTTAAGCGCAGCCAGGTAAGGAAGCACACGGCGCGGTGTGATCCAGCTCACTGACGCGACACAGGTCTTCAGTCTGACACAGATCCTCGTTCTTGCATACCAATCTACCGGTGTCATCTATGGCGATATTGGAACATCACCGCTGTATGTTTACTCTTCGACATTCACAGAGGCACCTAGTCGCATCAACCTACTTGGTGCTCTGTCGCTTATACTATGGTCTGTTACGTTGATGGTCACCGTCAAGTACGTCTTAATCATCCTCCGCGCCGACAACGATGGAGAGGGCGGAACGTTCAGCACATACTCGCTTCTTTCCAAATATGTACGTCAAACAACCTGCGTGAGATCTTCAGTCACTGATGTATGCAGGCAAACATCGCGAACAGAGATCCACGCGAAGCAACCCTGATACGTAAGTGTGCATCATACCCTAGGTCTCGCTGTACTGACTTCCACGCAGGCATGGAGAGACACAATACCGATACGCTGGGCCGATCCACAAGAAATATTCGCTCAACCATCGAAAAGTCTAAGTTCTTTCGCGGCCTACTGCAGGTCATCGGTGTACTAGCCGTGTCCATGGTCATGGCTGATGGTGTTCTGACTCCAGCTCAATCCGTCTTGGGTGCCGTCCAAGGTCTCAACGTCGTGAAGCCTGACATCGAGAAGTCCACCATCATCGGTGTCACATGCGCCATTCTCGTCCTATTATTCGTCGTGCAACCACTTGGTGTCACGAAATTGACGTTTGTCTTCTCGCCCATCGTCATTGTATGGCTGGCCTTGAACGCTGGGTTTGGAGTATACAACCTTGCCAAGTATGTATTCTTGTTACTTCCGAAGTACTCTTGACTGACAACTACAGCTATGACTACGCGATCCTAAAAGCTTTCAATCCTTTCTACGCATTCGACTACCTGATACGGAACAAATACGAAGGCTGGCGCAGTCTTGGTGGAATACTCCTGGCCTTTACAGGCGTTGAAGCTCTGTTCGCAGATATCGGTGCCTTCAGTCGCCGTGCAGTACAGATCAGTTGGCTCGGATACGCCTACCCGTGTTTACTGCTTGCTTACAGTGGCCAAGCTGCCTACATCAGTGTGCACCCGGAGGCATACTCCAACCCCTTCTACAACTGCGCCCCACCAGGATGGCTCATCTTTTCGCTTATCGTAGCCATCGCTGCTGCCATCGTCGCATCGCAGGCCATGATCACGGCGACATTCCAACTCCTGACCCAGATCATGAAGCTCTCTTACTTCCCGCAGATCAAGGTCGTTCACACTTCGACAACATATCATGGCCAGCTGTATATCCCCAGCATCAACTGGCTGCTGATGATCGGAACTGTACTTGTCGCTGCCATCTACAACAACACAACCTCCTTGGGTAACGCCTACGGTGTATGCGTCATGTTCGTCACGTTCTTCGACACTTGCATGGTTACCCTCGTTGCGATCCTAGTGTGGCGCATCAAGCCATACTTTGTGCTTCTTCCTTGGCTCACCATCGCTTGTTTGGATGGCGCCTACCTGTCCTCGGCACTTACCAAAGTACCAGACGGCGCTTGGTTCACTATTCTTCTTGCCTGCCTCCTCGGATCCATATTCATCCTCTGGCGATTTGGCAAAGAGCAACAGTGGGGCGCCGAGGCCAGTGATCGTTTCCCAACGACGCACTTTGTAAAGACATTACCAGACGGTCGCCTAGAGCTGACCGAGCAGTACGGGAGCAAGTCTGTTGGAGCCATGGAAGGCTTCGGCATCTTCTTCGACAAAGCTGGCGAGACAACTCCTATCGTCTTCAGTCAATTCATCCGCAAACTAGTCACCATCCCCGAGGTAATCGTCTTCTTTCACCTCCGGCCGCTAGAGGTACCCTTCGTGGCTCCGGAAAACCGATACAGTGTTTCGCGACTCGCCGTCCCAAACTGCTACCGCCTAGTAGTCCGCCATGGCTACATGGACGAAGTCATCACCCCAGACCTAGCATCTCTAATCTACGAGAAAGTCCGCAACCACATCGTCGCACGGGCTCTGGAACGCGATGGCGAGATATCTGCCAAGGCTACCGGCGCTCAGCCGGAGAAAACCATGGTTACCGAGACTGTCGCTGGAAGTGGAATATCGACTCCAACACGCAGCTCAACTACTTCTGCACGTCTGGAAGCTCTTGAGCGTGCGTACAACCGTGAAGTATTGTATATTATTGGTAAAGAGCAGATGAAGGTTAAAGTCGGTACGAATATCATCCGCCGGTTCTTCTTGAAGGCTTTCTTGTTCATTCGGGATAATTCGAGAGCGAAGATTGCGAGTTTGGATGTTCCTATGGATAAGGTTATTGAGGTTGGGTTTGTGAAGGATGTGTAATCGAGGAAGTGTGCATCCGTAATCTAGTCTTTTGGGCGATAATCGTTTGCATTGTATCGATGGTTTTCGCAAAATCTTGTGTTGTGGCATGTCGATACCTCGGTACCTTTACGTGCCGTCGCTATTACTAAGTGGTCGATGCCAATGCGTCGCGATGACGTGCCTTCTTAGTCATTGCCTCGACCCTTCCGACGTTTGCTGACTAGCGACACCTCCACGCCTCACCCTCCAACATCTCCAATTTTCCTACAAATCTTCTAAACCCCCCAAATCAGCCAATTTGCGATCATGAACAAGTTACCCGACGATAGTACCACCTCGCACGTGTACGCTGCCAAGGCGGTAGGACCGTTGAATAGCTCGTCACCCCCTCGCGGCCTCAACCGCGCTCCTCAGCCTGTACCTCTTCGCGTCCTGAGCACACACGCCATCTAGATTGCCGCCATAACGACATAAGATCAACATTCGTCTCCCCTGAGATGGGGTACAATACACATGGCTATACCAGGTCCGGGTTTAATTGCGCCGCATATCGTGCCGTGGCGCCCATTCCCGGTGTGTCAGGCAAATCAGCGAGCCAGATGAGACGCGATAGGAATTTTTGCATCGTGTCGATGCGTGAACGCTGTTTCGGGAATCGGGTAGGGTGGAGGTTTGATCTTCGCGCAGTTGGATCTAAGATGCATCTCCTTTGTTTCTGCTTTGTGGAGTTGCTCGTTCATCCTTCTCCTCCAGCAGTAGTTCCCACCCTACAGCTTCAGTATGGTGCTCAGCATCTTCGAGTGGGCGTATGTTGTCGCCTACGTTACGTTCGCAATCGGCTTGCTGTCTTCGGTCGCCCGATTCTACTCTCGCGCATTAGTCTTGAGATCATGGGGTTGGGATGATACAACTTCGTGTCTTGTGCTGGTAAAACATGACCAGCTTTGCGATGTTTTCACCGTTGCTTATTTTCCCAGGTCGTCAGTATTGTTCATCAAGTTGTTCTGCAGCTGTTTCTGAACCTGGGCTGTGGCAAGTAAGTTTGGGGATGATTTCCCGAGATTGTGCGAAGACTTACCATCGACTTCAACAGACCGGGCAATGTGAATTGCAGTTTCCAATCCCTCGATCTTCTTCGGGTGAGCTCTCCATCAGCGTTCTCGTGAGAGATGGAAGGACTAAGAGAGCACGCAGATATCATTCATCGAAGAGATCGTGATCTATGGCGCACATTCCGTCATCAAGATGACCTTCCTCTTGTTCTATCTTCGGCTTTCTGTTGGTCAAATGTTCCGCGGCTTCGTACATCTTGGATTCGCACTGGCATTTTCGGTCTTCCTCTCCAGCTTGTAAGTTGAGTGGTAACCGCAGTTCATACGGCCGCAGACTGATGACATCTAGGCTCATGACAGTCCTACAGTGTATACCATTTGAGAAGATTCTCAACCCCATGTTGCATCCCGAGGTTAAATGCATCGACATGCGTATCATGATGCTCACTCCACCTATCCTTGTACGTATTGGCTACATACACACAGCCACCGCACTTTGCGCGCATACTGACACATGTCGCCTTTAGAACATCTTCATGGACCTCTACATTGTCTGTCTTCCGATACCCTCCATTTTGACCCTCCAAATGAACCTACGCCGCAAAGTCACAGTCGTCTCCGTCCTCGCCTTCGGCATCATCTCCGTCACAGTCGCAATCATCCGCCTACCCATCCTCATATCGGTATCCTCGATGAACACAGACCTATCAACAGACGTGGGAAAGATGATAATCGTGGCATCATTCGAGGTCCAATGTGCCATCGTTGCGGCGAATTTACCCGCAATGAAAGCACTGTGGGGTAAGGTCAGAGGCAAATACAGCTCTGCGGGCAGTTATGAGCGATCGAACGAAAAGCCATATAATCTCTCGTCGATGCGCCGAGGACTCCGAAACAAGCGCGCTTCTATGGGAACTATAACAAGGCTAGAGCAAGGACTGGCTGGCAACGAGTCGCAAGTGGAGCTCGTGGAGGGGATACACAAACAACCAGGACCAGTGGCTTTCGGGTTTGGGGAGGCGCATTCTAACTCTGTAAAGTCTTCTCGGCAGAACTCGATTATTGTGACGACTGAACTGGATGTGCGTCATACACCGAGATTATAGCGGCTTCAACACATACGTCCGAAGGCTTGCGTTAGAGCTGGGTTGAGACTTGGTATATATAGCTCGGCATAGCGATTCACTCCTGTATTACTCAGTATTGTAATGTATCAAGCCGCGTATGGATGGGAAAAGTTCCAATCCCATTCTCACCCGCGCTCACGGTCCGTAATCTATGCCATCTCGAACTGCATGTCGCTAAAAGCCCAATTGGGTAGAAGCCGCATCCCGCTACTCCAAAAGTATGCAAGTCCAGAATCCTTCCATCCCACTCATGTGCCACGCCGCATATCTTCCCACTATACAGATCAAGCTCATGTCGACAACAGACGTCTCGACCGAATCAACATGGACTGGGTTTTGGTCACTTCAGTTACCGCCATCAGTCTCTTGACTCTTCTTACATGGCGTCGGTACTTCTCCGCAATCAGCGACATACCAGGACCGTTTGCTGCTTCTTTTACTCGTGTTTGGCACATGGATCGTATTCTGAAAGGCGATCAAAACCTCGAACTCATACGCTTGCATGAACAACATGGTAAGCGTACCAGATATGCAGCAGCGCTGTTATCGATGGTTCGCTCACAGCCCTTCTAGGTCACTTCGTTCGTATATCGCACGACGAAGTCAGCGTTAGCCATCCAGATGCCATTGCGAAGGTCCTAGTAGCTTCCCTCCACAAGGTAGCACCCGGAAAGCACCTCTGATCCATTAGATGACTAACATGAATACAAGGCAAACTGGTACAAAATCCACGCCCTACCAGACTACCGCTTCCAATCGCCCATGAGCACTACCGACCCCAAGAAGAAGATCGAGAAATCAAGATACATAGCCGCGGCATATACCGTGTCCAACCTCCTCCGATCCGAAGAGCACATTGACCGTACCTTCGAATCCTTCCTCGACTGGATGGACGAATACGCATCCGCGAAGAAACACATGCATCTCAACACCTACATCTCCTACCTAACCTTCGACGTAATCGGCGAAATCGTCTTCTCCAAACCCTTCGGCTTCCTCGCCCAAGGCAAAGACATCGGTAACTCAATCTCAAACTCCCTCGCACTGAACGCGTACATCGCTGTAGCAGGTTACTTCCGCTGGATCAACATAGCCCTGTTGGCGAACCCCATCATGACGTGGCTGTCCATCTTACCAATGGGCCACCTCTTCGATACTGTGACATCAGTGTTGGCGGACCGAGAGAAGAATGAGAAAGCGAGATACGATGCAGTGCAGTACTGGTTTAAGCAGCATGAGAAGCATCCGGATAAGTTTACTACACGCGAGATTGGTACGCAGGCGCTTGCGGCTGTAGGTGCGGGGTCGGACACGGTGGCTGCGGGGATGCAGTCTTTTGTTTATCATATGATTCGGCATGAGGATGCGTGGGAGCGAGCGCATGAGGAGGTTGTGAAAGCAGTAGAAAAGGGATTGTGTGGTGATCGAATTGTGTCTTATGCTGATACGCAGCAACTTAGGTGAGGAGATAGTCCCTTGGTATCACCATGGAAGACTATGCAAGACTAACATCGAGTAGTTATGTGCAAGCCTGTGTGAAAGAAGCGCTTCGTATCTTCGGTCCAGTACCCATGGGTCTTCCCCGTATAGCGCCTAAAGGAGGATTGGTGATCGGAGATCGCAAGATACCGGAGGGTACTATTGTGTCAATCAACCGTGAGTGAAGACACTTCAATGCTTTTCCTATTCACCAGGCTGACTTCAAGCTGCAGCATGGGTGATGCATTACTCAAAGGAGATATGGGGTACTGATGCGCACGTCTTCAATCCAGATCGATGGTTGAAAGAAGACAGCGCTGCCATGGAGAAGCATTGGATACCTGTGAGTGACCCTTGTATTCGTATTGAGTATACACCGGCGGCTTTACGTATATGCTGACTGATCACTGCAGTTTGGTGCAGGTTATGGAGGCTGTCCAGGTCAAAACATCGCTAGGATCGAGCTCGTCAAGATCGCAGCAACGTTGGTTAGGGACTACAAGATCAAGCAAGTGAATCCCAGGCAAGACTGGCGGTGGAAAGCCTACTTCACGGTTGTTCCGCATTCATGGCCCGTATACGTCGAGAAGAGGGTATGAAAAAAAGAGTAGCATTCCACCTCAATTAGCCACCGTCAGTATTCTACCTCTAGAATCCAACGCCCAATTAGTCTCGAAGCCATCCTCATCCACAACCCGTTCTATTGACCAGAACCTCTCTTCCACCACGCTTACCCTCCTTACACTCAGCTCCTCCAACAAGTCCAGAAGACGCTTATCCGTCCTGCCCAACCAAATCCGCACAGCCTCTCCTTCGACCCTCGCTCGTCTCGTCACCCACCAAAGCGTGCCATCGCGACACATGCTAAACCACCAACCCAAAAGAAACACAGCTTTAGGGTCTTTTTGTTCTAGCAAGGCCAAGAATTCGGGCGTGAGAAACGCGGTGAAGTATAGGAAATCCAATACGTTGCCATGCGACAGGCGTAGATGCTGGATCCGCGAAAGGATGAGGACAGGGAAGTGGTAGACGTTGTTATCCTTGTTAGACTCTTCCGTGACACCAAAGACCAGCTTGACTTTCTCAGGCACGAGACTAGTGTCGTTGCTCACCATCCACTCGGGCGGTGTAGGACATGGGCCTGTCTTCTTCTTTAAAACACGGTTGAATACACTGTCCTCCCTCGTAGGATCTGCTATACGCCAGAGATGTCGTTTGCCTTCTCCGATCTTCATCCACGCTAGATCGCCTGGCTCGGAAAGCTTTAGCGGCCAGACTGCGTGGGGGTCGTCCGACTCAAGATACCAGAAGGAAGCAGCGCCGAGGTGGACGCCTGTGGCCCAGATGGCGTCGCGTTGGGATGGAGGGATGGGACCGGAGAGGAGACGCTGGTACTGCGTTGTGGCGTGAGACCAGTGGCGCAGCGATGCGTTTTGGAGAGAGAGAGATCGGGTGGGAGTGTGGGCAAGAGCAGAGTCGTGCATCAGGGTTAGGCCGAGGATCATGTGCATTAGGAAGGGGTGCTACACTACAAGTCAGTTCTGAACAGCTAAAGGAAGAATGGGTTAGACGTTACGTTGAATGTGAGGCGGCATACTATGTCTCTGCATGCTGGGGCCATTCTCTCGCCTATACGAATTCCGTCAGTCAGCCCGCATACTCAAAACGATTCAATGTTATACCATACCTCCGACAGTCAGAGACGTCCTACTCTGAAATCTCGCAAGGATCTCAAGATGACTTTCCGAAAATTCCCAAGATGACTGTCCAGTACCCATGTTTGGATCCAGCGCCGACGCCCCAGATCGAAGAGAGTCTCCAATCATGGAAGTCACAACGCCGTTGAACGATATCGGGCTCCACGGCGTGCGAGTCGCTCCGCTATTCTCATAGTGCGGCGTAATCGTGGATAGCTGCCCAAAATCAACTGTCCCCACGCCCTCCACATGCACGTCCAACTCTCCCTCCTGACCCTCAAAGTCGCACGCCACGCCATAAGTCACACATTTCGCGCACCGTGGCCTCGTCTCATCGCACTACCCAAAACCATCAGTTCATCCAGCCTAAATCATAGATACACTCAAGTCAACTAACCTTAACCCGTCTCAACTTGCAATTCTGACACCCATTCCTCGATTTCGCATTCCAGCGGCGTTTCCTTACACCCTTTTCCGCTGACAAACCGCTGCGTTTGGGAACGAGAGCAGGCATAGCGTCGATTCGATTTGAGTTCCGTTCCGTTCTTGTTGGAGTGCCTACGAGGTGTGCGGCAAGCCTGCAAACAGTAAGGGCATTGGAGGTGGGTAGATGCAGTCTAACCCGCGCTCGTATAAAGAGTCCATGCCGCCGTTATATACCTAAATATGCGTGTAAGACTGTACGAGACGGAAGAAACGCGGGGTTTAGCTGCTTCATCGCCTGTGGCAGCAGGGCGTAAGCGATGAGGTCGTGCTGCATACTGCGTCAGCGGAAAGGGTCCACAGGATTCCGCGCTAAGGGGCGGGTCTAACCCGCGTTCGTATACAGCAGTCGCGAGGCGGTCTAATTGGTTGAATGGGTAGCAACGACGGAGGTGTGGTGCGAGCATGATCCAATCGCTAGGATAGGGCAAATGTATTAAGGTATGAAGCGCGTAATATGCGTAAACTCCGAGAAAAGGTAGACGGCCTTTGCGCGAGAAGGAGATAGGTGAGTAGAACGAGTTGGATGACATGGCATGGAGGGTGCACACCAATGTGGTCATGGACAGGTATAAGTACGGAAAACCTGGCAGGTAGGATAAGAGAAGAGGTACAGAAACCCGATTCCAAACCGTATCTTATAGCAAGTTCTCAACTATCAAGAAAGGAACAAACCCTCATATCCAAATATGTCCACCACCACCCTCCCACCAACAATGAAAGCCCTCCTCCAAGAAACAAAAAACGGGCCCCTCGTCCCACGGTCTATCCCAACACCCAACCCGGGCCCAGGCTCTGTCGTAGTAAAAGTCCTCGCAAACCTCCTCCAACACCAAACTCCGGGCATCCTCTCCGGCAAAGCAGGCTTCACCTACCCCACTCCCATGATCCCCGGCGGACGAGCCATAGGCCGAATTGCCGCTACAGGCCCCGACACAACATGTCTATCAGAAGGGCAGCTGGTCCTCCTCGAGCCGTTCATCCGCGCCCGCGACGACGCTGATACATGGATATTCTGGGGCGCAATGGAAGGCACGAGTGAGGGGAGTAAGAAGCTCTTTGCGGATAACTAGCGGTATGCTACGTTTGCGGACTATGTTAAGGCGCCCTTGGAGAACACCTGGGCGCTGGATGAAAAGAGGCTTTGTGGAGAATTGGGGTATACGATACCGGAGTTGGTGCAGCTCAGTGTTGATGTTGTGGCGTACAGTGGGCTGAAGGGGATTGGGCTGAGGCCCGGGGAGAGACTGGTTGTTACGCCTGCTACGGGGCTTTTCTCAGGTGCTGCTGTGGGCGTGGCGGTTGCGATGGGAGCGACTGTTTTGGTGACGGGAAGGAATAAGCGCGCGCTTCAGCGGCTGGTGGATGCGCATCCGAAGCTTGTTTCAAGTGTTCTGAGAACGAACGACGTCGAGGTCGATGTTAAGAATCTGCAGAAGCATGGCACCGTGGATGCGTTTCTCGAGTTCACGCCCATGGGAGCGGAGGGGAGTACACATGTTCGTGCTGCTTTTGGCGCGCTCAAGCAGTACGGACGAGCGTGTATCATGGGCTTTGGTGGTGGCGCGATGAAGGATGTGGAGATTCCGATGATGGATATCGTGTTTAAGAGTATCACGGTTCATGGTCATGCCATGTACTGGGGTCAAGATGTGAAGGAAATGATCAAGATGGCCGAAGCGGGAGTGTTGAAACTTGGAAAAGAGAGAGGTTTTGATTCGGTGACGGAGTTCAAGATGGAGGACTTTGAGAGAGGCTTCGACTGGGTTGGCGAAAACCACGAGCTCGGCCAGATGGCGGTTCTAGTCCCGTGATGCAGCCGAAAGTGGAAGGTGCGAAGGACCTTGAGGGAGTTACCTTCAAAAATCAGTGTTAGCATGTCACTGCGTCATATGCAATTGCTGGAACCAGAAGTCCTTGATTCCTAGTCGGATGAGTACCGACTGCCCGCTGTAGAGGAAGCCGGGGCCTGTTGCAGTCTGTTATAGCCCTATGCATCACCAGCTATCCTAAGTAAAGTCCCACTCCAAGAAAATGCAGCAATCTGTCATGGTTCGTGAACGTTTCATGACCTCTTAACGCCGTGTGCCGACTTGAATATACCCTTCAACGATCGTTTTACAGTACGCCAGTCGCAGCTACGGCAGGCGGGTGTAGTCGTCGGGGAAGGAGCGCCGGTCTTTTCCGCTAAAATCGAATCGGTCGTCGAGGTGCGCGTGTCGCCGCCGCGGCTCGAAGAGCTTCTAGAGATTACGCTATCGGTCTTGAGGCCCTCAGGAGTTTTGTCTTTACTTCGCTCGCGCGATGTCACCTGTTCCTGAGTCCTCGCGCACCCCTAATCAATACCGTGTTGTTTTTTGAGCTTTTCTAAGTTCTCTTGGCGCTCGGCGAGATCATTCGCGGCCTTGAGCATCTTATCTGGCTGGTGATATAATACTGCTGCTGTTAGTGCTTGCTGTGTCGGAGAAGCGCCTGCCACGTACCGACGAGATACCGGTTCTGGAAGTTGAAGCCGTTGAGCTTGTCGCAGGCCGACTTTGCGTCCATTACGTCTTCATAGACGACGAAGGCTGTGCCCTTGGTGTTGTTGGCGATGCCCTGGCGAATTTGGCTGTGTCAACGTCAGTAACCTGGAGTGACGGTGAAGGCCAAGATGCGCCAGCGCATGAGGGAGACGACGTACCGCACTGGGCCGAACTTGCCAAAGAGGTCGAAGAGTTCCTCTGGGGTGACGTTGAAGCTGGCGGAGGATTAGCGCGTGGCAGATAAGATACCGCGGGCATCTACTAACCTCAGGTTCTTTACGAAGAGAGCTCTGTAGACATGACATGTTAGCGCAGATGTCGTGTGAGTTGGTCGCATCGGCCTTGCGACTGGCACGCGATGCGGCATGGCGGACGTACCGGTTGACTTCCGGGGCCAATTTTCCTCCTCGACTCATACTTTGGCGACTGTGATGAACGGTAAAGGACGGGCTGCGAGGTTTGTAATGGGGGGCGGGCGGTGGGGAGGTTGTAGTGAGAAGTGAAGTTGGTGAACATGCGGGATCAATCGTGGATGGCGTGCACGTCCGAGCGCCGAGCTGCATCACGTGGCGGACGCATACCAAGAACAGCGACTCATGCAGCACCGAGATGACGATGCACATGCGCCGCAAACGAGAGGCTGTGAAAGCGGAGGTTTAGCATGTAGTGATTATGGACATGCACTGAGATATGAATGTCTCACAGCAAGGTGATATGGTGATGGGTGCACTCCTTGCCGTAGGATCGAGCGCTCGAATCGGAGACGCGGACTTGCAGCGAATGAAGCGGCTTGTCTCCTCCCCAGAGCTCCTGCAACGGCCACCCATCTGCACACCACAGACACATGCGCTTCGAGCTCTCTGTGAAGCCGCCGCATCCTCGCCTACCTATCGCGCCCTGAGTGTGTCGTCGGCGCTGGCGTGGCCGAGTCGTGGTTGGATTGTGCTGGTCGTGGTCGCAACATTCCCAATACAATCCCCGCCGACTTCTCCACCACCATCATTCTGCTCCCAAACCTCCCCCTACGCTCGTTCATCCGCGACCGCGCCCACAGTCGCCTCGCCGCAGGACATGCCCATGCCCGGCTCTTACTCCGCCCGTCTCTCCGCTGATAGTGCCGCTGCTCCATAGCCGCGCATCTGTCTGAGACGCCAGACCGGCGAGTACCTCGCACCTCCGAAGCCCCAGTCCATCCACCTCCGCACCCATGACCACCATGAGGCGCCTCTCGTCCTTCAAGGAGCAGTACAGGCGAGCTTCGGCGCGCGCCCCTACACCTCCGCCGCCCGCCTACGAGCCGCTGTCGCCCATCCTGCCGCCTACGGAGCCCTCGACGGCGCACCCCGCCGGCAATGCGAATATCCCAACCGCGTCGCTATCAGGCACAAGGCACATCAATGATGCTCCGCACAATCCTTTCACTCTCAGAGAGGGCGCGCGCGCGTCCGTGGAGCACTCGTCGCCGGCGGTGACGTACGGGCACTCGTCGCGCTCCGCACCTCCGCCGCCGCAGTATTCTCTGGCGCAGGCATCGCCCATTGAGGCCCTCGCAGATGTCGCTGTCACCAGGCAGCACACAAACCTGCCCTACGCTGACTTTTCGCGCCATGCTTCACACCCAGCGACGTCGCCCGCGACCCTCCCTTACCCGATCGGCGAGCGCGCCCCCGTACACGCCTCCCCTAGGGAGCCCATATATCCTTACGACGAGAGACCCGCGAAGAGAGCGCGCTCCGAGGTGTACGGCTCTCCGCAGTATGGGCAGTCTCAGTCGAGACCGGCTACGAGCCACATCCCGGGCTGGTCCTATAGCGTCGAGCACACGGCCAACGGCGGCAATGGCATGCATCACATCAGCGCCGTGCCTGATGACCGACGTGCTGAAGCTGAGCTGCTGCTCGATTTCTTCACGGCAGCTACAACGCAGCTTGCGCAGTCTCCGCCCTCGACAGCAAAGCGGTTGGTCTTTTCACAGTCAGCGCCGGCCGAGCAGCCTTCGCAACTTCTACAACATTCGCAACCAGTACAACAAATACAACACAAGCAAGCGCCCGAAAATCCTTTTCTAGCGCCTCCGCCGCCACCACCGTCATCCGACCACTACAGCCAACCTACGCAGGCACCCGTCGACCTGAAACACCCTTTAGACGCACCCTCAGACACAGCCCCGACCGCCTCGGCTGCGCAAACACATACACCGCCTGAAGAAGCTCCTACTATCGTTACACAGCCTGAGATGCAAGATGCCGTTCCGTCAGAAGAGCCAAAGGCGAAAAAAGGACAGGGCTTGCCAAAAGGGAAGGCGCGCGCATCTCGTAGCACCCCTTCGGCCAGCAGCAAACGGAAGAAGTCAACTCCCAAGCCCAAAAGTGCGCCATCCACAAGAACTTCTGGAGCCCCGGACCAGCTTCAGTCGCCGCTGAGTCTGCCCGCCGACCAGTCTGCTGCGGTCCCAACGGACAGCTCCATTCCTACGGTACCGCTAGCTGGACCAGCCCAAACCTCGCCCTCGCAAGCACGTCGTCATTCCTTCTCAATATCCGCTCCACCAATACCAGACGACCAGCCGCTCTCGACGTACTCACGAGCCAAATCACTACCTCTTGGAAACCAAGCAGTCGCCCCTGCTCCTGATGCTACTGTCGCGCAGCCTGCGCCCGCTCCAGCCGAACCAGAACTTATCTGCGCCCATTGCAAATCGTCCGAATCACTTACCAAAATCGGCGACGGCGAACAATGGATCGGCTGCGATGGCTGCAAAGAGTGGTATCACTACCCTTGCGCTGGTTTCAACAGCGAACGGGAGGTACGGGAGGTAAACAAATTCTACTGCGAACCGTGTAGACCCAAGTTTGGTGAAACAACGAGTAGGTCTACCGACGCACATTGGGCTTATAGTTCTAACATGGTCCAGAGGTTCGTAAATCCGTCAGAGCCCACACAACTGTTGACTACGCTGGTCTAAACGAGGGTGTTCTCAAGACCTCAGACGACAACCCGGAGCACCACTATATTTCAGCTTTCAAGAATGGCGATATCGAATTCACCCCCGAGACCTTTGCTCGTGTCCCGGCTCGGCTCATCACCGGCGACTTCCTCGAGAAGATGAACGGGTTCAAGGAGCCGATTGTGATTCCTGGCGACATGAACCCTTCGGCGGTGTCAGCGGAGGAAGACGTTGTCATGGGCAACACTGAGGGGCAAGGAGACGGGTCAGGATCACACTTCGGATATGAGACGGTCGCCGACGACGGTCAAGACAGTTTGGATATGGTCATACCTAAAGGCCTGACTGTTCGCCGCGTGGCGGAACTCTTCGGCCCAAACGAACCCGTACCCGTCATCGACGTCAAAGCACAGGAAGGCGAAGGCAAGAAGTGGACTATGGGGAAGTGGGCCGACTACTACGAGCAACAAGGAGAAAAGCCAGTACGGAATGTCATCAGTCTGGAGGTATCTCGCAGCCGGCTCGGAAAGCTTATACGGCGTCCCAAGGCTGTTCGAGACATGGACCTCCAAGACTCCGTGTGGCGGGAGGATGATAAGTCTGCGCCGCCCCCAGTACAGTTCTACTGCCTTATGTCTGTCGCAGACTGCTTCACCGACTTCCACATCGACTTTGGCGGTTCATCCGTCTACTACCACATCGTCAAGGGAAAGAAGGTCTTCTTCTTCATCCCACCAACAAAGCAAAACCTAAAGAAATACGAAGACTGGTGTCTTTCTCCAAATCAAGGACACGACTGGCTTGGCAAACAGGTCAAGGAATGTTACCGAGTAGATCTGTACCCTGGAGATACCATGTTGATCCCTTCTGGCTGGATACACGCAGTCTGGACTCCCGAAGACAGCCTCGTCATCGGCGGCAACTTCCTCACCCGCATCCATTACGGCATGCAGATTAAAATTCTGGAAATCGAGAAGAACACCAAGGTGGCTTTGCAATTCCGGTATCCGTTCTTCCAGAAGATCATGTGGTTAACAGCCATCAAATATCTGGAAGAAGATCCAATTCCTGGTCCAGTTCAAGAGCTTCTGCAAAGTGGCGAGCAGTTCACACGAGACACACCCATCTACTGCGAGCCAGACAGGTTCGGTCACAACTCGCACCTCGGCGCACAGAACTACAACAAACGATACTACTCCAAGCACGAACTTGAAGGGCTGAGCGATCTTCTGAACTACATTTGGAGAACTGTCTTAATCACTGAGGGCAAAATCGATGTGCCTCAAAAGACCCGAAGTGCTGTCAACAAGTCGATCCCTAAGGGCCATGGCGAGCCGCTTGT